TGCGGCCGTATGTTTTGGACACCCGAGTGAAGAGAGGAGCGGAGCTGTCAACTGATCACCACCTGGTGGTGAGTTGGATCAGATGGCAGGGGAAGATGCCACGTAGACCTGGCAGATCCAAACGCATAGCGAGGGTCTGCTGGGAATGCCTGGCAGAAGAACCTGTCAAGACGGTCTTCAACTCCCACCTCCGGCAGAGGTTTGACCGCATCCCGAGAGCAGTGGGGGACATTGACTCCAAGTGGGCCTTGTTCCACTCTGCAATAGTTGAGGTGGCTGTTGCTAGATGTGGTTGCAAGGTGGACATCAGAGGTTCAGGGAGCCGTCAGGCTGAAGAAGGAGGCCTACAGGGCATGGCTGGTCTGTGGGTCTCCAGAGGCAGCAGACAGGTACCGGATAGCCAAGCGGGGTGCAGCAGTGGCAGTTGCCGAGGCAGTCTCGGGCGTAGGAGGAGTTTGGTGAGGCCATGGAGAAAGACTATCGATCGGCTCCAAAGAGGTTCTGGGAAAATGTCTGGCACCTCAGGAGATGAAGGCAGCAACTCGCTCACACTGTTTACAGTGGGGATGGGGAGTTGCTGATGTCAACTGGGGCTATAGTCCGACAGTGGAAGGAATACTTTGAGGAGCTCCTCAATCGCACCTACGTACATTCCGAGGAGGAACCAGAGCCGGGAGACCTGGGGATGAACTGTCCAATCTCGGGGGCAGAAGCTGCTGAGGTAGTCAAACAACTACACAGCAGCGGAGCCCCGGAAGCGGATGAGATTTGTCCTTGGTATCTCATGGCTATGGATGTTGTAGGGGTGTCATGGTTGACACATCTCTGCAACATTGCGTGGTCATCGGGGCAGTTCCTAGGGAGTGGCAGACCGGGGTGGTGGTCCCCATCTTTAAGAAGGGTGACCTGAGGGTGCGTTCCAACTATAGGGGGATCACACTCCTCAGCCTCCCTGGAAAGGTCTACTCCAAGGTACTGGAGAGGAGGGACAGATCGATAGTTGAATCTCAGATTGAGGAGGACCAATGTGGTTTTCGTCGGGTCGGGAGAGAGGTCCTACCTCAAGTGGAGGAGTTTAAGTATCTCGGGGTCTTGTTCACGAGTGAGGGTGGGAGAGATCGGGAGATTGACAGGCAGATTGGTTCAGCGTCTGCAGTGATGCGGACACTGAGCTGATCTGTCGTGGTGAAGAGGGAGCTGAGCCAGAAAGCCAGACTCTCGATTTACCGGTCGATCTACGTCCCAAACCTCACCTATGGTCATGAGCTTTGGGTAATGACAGAAAGAACGAGATTGTGGATACAAGCGGCCGAAATGAGTTTCCTCCGTAGGGTGGCCGGGCTCAGCCTTAGAGATAGGGTGAGGAGCTCGGACATTCGGGAGGGACTCGGAGTCGAACCACTGCTCCTCCGGATTGAAAGGAGTCGGTTGAGGTGGTTTGGGCATTTGGTCAGGATGCCTCCTGGCTGCCTCCCTGGGGAGGTGTTTCAGGCATGTCCTGCCGGCCGGAGGCCCCCAGGTCGACCCAGGACACGTTGGAGAGGTTACATCTCCAATCTGGTCCTGCCGGAGGAGCTGGTGGGGGTGGCTGGGGAGAGGACGGTCTGGAGCTCCATAGTTGGGATGCTGCCCCTGCGACCCGGACCCGGATATGCGGAGGAAGACGACGACGGCGACTCTCAAATGAGGACACCTTAATTTCTCTTGTAGTTGCACCCGCAAAATCGAAGGAGGGCAGACTTGACACTCGTTTCCGAACAGAGGGCTGGCTTGACGGCAGTTAACCCTAGGGCATGACGAGAAATGCCTGGCTCTCACCTGATCTTCACCTGATTTACTTTTGTCACGTTTCCTATGAGCACACTAAAACTACAGCTGATAATCTGATAGCTGTCATATCGTCATATGCACGTCTACGATATATGATATCCACAAGCATGCGAGGATGTGTTTCAGTTGCTAACAGGCGCCAGAATTTTACTTGTTCTTTGCAATAAAATGTGTATTTCTAACATTGTATCATCTAACAGAAATCTTATTGAATTGATTCAGACTTACCCTTAGATCTTAAATTAAAACTTACATCTTTAAACACATTAGAAATAAAAATAACATAATTTATATCAGCCAAATGCACCAATTTATTCTTTGCATACTGTTTATTAGCTATCTATGGAGCAAAATGTCGCGGTTTGTTATATTTGTGATTCATTTATTTAGCAGCACATCACACACAACATGCTCACTCATGTTTTCTTTGTAATAAACATATATTAATGTTCCTGGAAATAGAACATGAACAGCAATATGAGTCACACTCGAACAATTGCTGAGTTTATTGATATCCATTGAAGGTTCTCAGTCATCCAGGTCTAGTTATTTAAAAAAAATGGACTGTGTTATTTCTTTAACAACATTTCACCCTCTCATTCCAAAAAGCTTTCTCTAGTTTGTTGAGTTCTCACTGTTGAATGGAGACACTTGGTTATGTCACCATGAGCGTTAATGAAGAAACAAATGTCATGATAAGTTCCACCATCAGTAAAATCACATAACACACACCTGCAACAAATATTATTTGGGTACAATGTGTTGGTGATTAGAAGAAAAAGTGTGAATCCAATACTCAACCAATTTGCTATATAAGGCTTCTGAAAATAGGGGTCGTTCTCAGAAAAAAGGATCAAGTCGCTGTGTGTTTGACAGACAGCAAGGGCACCCTTAAACTGCTGGTTGTGAGCAGACAAACTGCTGAAATGATGAAAAATGGTAAGTTACAAATTCTATACAAAATATTTCTAACATTATTAACTCCAGTCTCCAAGGTTGATGATACATGCAGAAAGAGGACAAATCACAACTAAGAAGAAACAAAGTTAATGATGTGCAATGATAGCTCAGTCACCTGATTCATCTTTAATTAGAAGCGATGTGATGTGCTGTTTGACATGGACACAGCAATTACATTGGACAAACCAGATGCATTGTTTAGTGTGTTAGCACACGTGCTAATTTGCTACACTTGTCCATAGAACCTTTCTAAAAAGTAGAGTACATTTAAATAAATACAAAGAGATCAACAATAAACTAAACAGAAAACAGATTAAAATTGCAAACAATTTTCAATAAAAAAGAATAAAAAAGGCAATCTGAGCAGCAATGTAAGACTTTTAAACTATTCATGTAGACATTGTTGTTTAGACTTTAACCATTTTTTGAGTTCTTTGTTAAAAACTTTACTGTCCGTTTCTAGTTTTAGGTCAGTAGGTAGAGAGTTCCAAAGTTTGGCCCCCTTTACAGAAAGAGCAGACTGACCATAAGAAGTCTTGCACCGCGGGACGAGACAATCACCGCAGGTGGAGGCTCGAGTGATCGTTCTATGAGAGCTCTGACGTCTGATGGCCACAATAGAGAATAGTTTAGACAAGTTATCATTTATACAATTGAAAAAGAATCTTAGAGTGCTAAAATTAATAAAATTTTCAAAAGTGAGAAGATTATGTTTCCTTAGAATGCGACAATGATGCCATTTCAATGGTTTCTGGTCCATAATTTTTATTGCTTGCTTGTATATTAAGACTATATGTTTTAGAGTGGTGGATGAAGCCTGTGACCATGATGTAATGCAATATGATAAGTGGGGAAAGATCAGTGCATGCATGTACAGTTTAGCAGTTTGGTGTGACAGGTTCCTTCTGATAAAACAGAAGCAGTTTAAATTTGTTTTAACCTTATTACAGACGTGCTTAACCTGACTGTCAAATTTTAGGTGTTTGTCTGGAATGATCCCAAGGTACTTCACATCACTCCTTACTTCAATGATTTCCTCTTTAATCCTAACCTGAAATAGTTCCTGATCAGCCCTGTTTTTCATGGAGAAGCATAAGGACACAGTTTTTTTAACATTAAGAGTTAGGTGGGAGGACTCTAGCCATTCTGAGATGTCTGATAAAGCCTGCGTCAGGCGCTCTCCTGCCAGGCCAGGTGTTTTTGTGGACACATAAATGACGGTGTCATCAGCATACATCTGGCAGCTGACGCCTGAGCAGCTCATCGGAAGGTCATTAATGTACATTGTAAACAGCAATGGACCAAGCACGGATCCTTGTGGTACACCCATGTTGTTTGCAAGCAAACTTGACTTGACCTCATTAACCCTAACACACTGCTGTCTACCCTCCAGGTATGAACTGAACCATTTCAAAGCTTCAGGTGATATTTTAAATTGCATTAGTTTGTTAAGTAAGACGCTATGGATAACTGTGTCAAAAGCCTTTTTTAGATCCAGAAACACTGCCCCTACAACACATCCTTTATCCAGAGAAGTTTTGATCTTTTCAAGCAGATAACAATTTGCAGATTCTGTGGAGTATTTCTGTCTAAAGCCAAACTGCTGTGAATAAAGCAGTTGGTTGGACTCTAAGTGATCGATTAGTTGCTCAGCTACAATCTTTTCTAGGATTTTTGAGACTATCGGGAGGATGGCAATAGGCCTGGAGTTACTTGCTAAGTCCTTTTCTCCCAATTTGTAGACTGGAGCAATTATTGCAGTTTTTCAGCTTTCTGAGAATCTCTTTGTTTGAATTGATAAGTTTACTAAATATGTGATTGGCTCCAACATATAACTGTGATGTTTCTTAATAAATGTAGTATTTAAGTTATGGATAACCTTTGCCATGGACATCCGCATGTTTGCAATCACTTTTTTAACTTTATCCTGCGATACTTCTTTTATATAGAAGGAGTTGGTGTGATCCTTATCACATTCGTTACAGGGTGGGTCATTTGATTTAAAATGACTGGCTAAATCTTTCACAGACTCTATAAAAAAATTTTTGAAACCATTTGCAATTGACTCATTACTATTAATGAGTACATCACATATTTTAAGGCTATTTATTTTTGGGAGCTTTTGCTTGCTAGACTTGGTTAGTCTGTTTATATGTTGCTACAGTTTAGAACTGTTGCCATTTGCCTCTTCAATCAGGTTATTAAAATAATTAGTCTTTGCTTTCACTTTTGTTTTGCTCAGACGCTACTTTATTTCTTAGTCCAGTGTAAATTAAATGGTCAGAATTGGTTTTAGTCCTTAAGGATCTTTTCAGAGCAAAATCTTGCTCTTTGATCAGCTGACTGATATCACTGTTGAACCAAGGAAGAGACTTTTTCTTAGGTTTTCTTTTCCAGGTTCTTGTGTGCTTACCAATTATACCATGAAGGGTCAAGACAAAACTGCTTGCACTACAGTCTGGATCAGGCTCTCTGATTACCCTGTCCCAATTAGCTGTCTTTAGATCATGTTCAAAGTCAGCCATTTTTGACGTGGGAATTCCAGTAGTTAAAGTATAATTTTCTGTTTTGTTATGATAGACTAGATGCTTTTTTGTTAGCTTTCTTATAACCAGTATCATATTATGATCTGAAAGACCAGTGATATGATTGTATATTTTTGTTACTCCCTCTGGCCTGTTTGTTAAAATCAGGTCTATAAGGGTTTCACTCTTTCTAGTAACTCGTGTAGGACTGTCAATCAGCTGTTTGTATTTAAATTTGTCCCTAGTTAACTTTAGTTTTGCCCTACCCTTTTTATCTTTCCAATTGATGTTAAAGTCCCCAAACAGCATGAATTCATGAGAGTCATCGACAATAGACAAAAGATTTCTCAGTTCATCATAGAAATTTACATCATGAGATGGAGGATTATAAAGCACGACTATACTAAATTTCATGGTTGGTGAGAGAATTACGCTCAATCCTATGCACTCCAAATTTACACCCATATCGAGCTCTTTAACCTTAAACTGCTCCCTAATGTAAATTAAGACACCCCCTCGTCTTCCCTTGACCCTGTCTTTCCTGTAGCATGTGTATCTTGGTATATTAATTAGGTCAGTAGGAATATTACTAGTCAACCAAGTTTCAGACATACACAAGAAATCCAGATTAGACTCCATAAGCAAGTTCTGTATCTGATCTATTTTTGGTAGTATGCTTCTAACATTTATATGCCTTCCCAATATTCCATTGGGTTTTGTGTCCGAATTCACAGTTTGAAAAAGTCTTGACTGTCTCTGTTTCAAAGTTGCACTGTTGGTTAAATGACTTTTGGCACTCATGTGAAACTGTCTGTGTAGACATTTACCAGCTGTTTCAGTCAGTTCCGTGTTTGTTAGTGGCCCAGCCAGGAGCGGTGTAGGTCAAGCCAGAAGCTTTATCAAGAGTGAAACATTGGGTTGTATTTTTCAGATAACAAGTATGCAACATATATGATGGAGCAAGTAAGGGCTGCAAACCAGAATCAAGGTAAACTTCCCTTAGTATTCCAGTGTGTGTGTGTGTGTGTGTGTGTGTGTGTGTGTGTGTAAATTATTTAATTATGCAGTAGCTGAAATTATATTTCATTTTCATATTACCACTGCCAAATTTGACTCATAAATAAAATTAATAGGTAATCTTCCAAACTGCTTTTTAATTTTCTTCTTCATCATTACTTATTCTGCGACTTAATGAAAAGTATGAAGAAAAAAAACATGTAAAATAAAAATTTCTAAATAACGCTCCAGCAAAAATGTAACAAAATTCAATTTGAAATGTCAAATTCGATAAACCTGAATAGAATCATATGTTTAGTTAATGAAACTTTTTTGCTAAACACACTTGTGAGGTAGGCTTGCATATTGTACCAAAATTCAGAAACAACAGAACAATCCACAAAAAGATGCCCAACACTCTCTCCATCTTTCTGACAAAATGAACACTTAGTACATTCATTGGGGAGAAAATGACAAATATCATTTTTAACTGGGTAATATCTGTGTATGGTTTTAAAGATACATCATTTTATTTTATTGGAAATAACATATCTATAACTATCTATAAGGTAATAAACTCAAGGCCCAGAATAAGCATTGATAAAGTCTGTGCTAATAGCCATCAGGTTTAAATAACTAAGATAATGTTATTACTGAACCAGTTTTTAAACAAATAATTTTATTGTTCAACTTCAACTTAATCTTCCTGTCGTTGCTTATGTAACATACATGAGGTAAAAAGCTGTTTTTATATGATAGATCAAGGATAACATAGTAATAATTAATGTGGTTTTTTTTCTTCTAAAGTTGTGAATATTAACATGTAATTTTCTCTGGTTACACTGGTTTTCCCAGATGTGGAGTCTCTAGAATGGTTGCAGTGGCAGATGTCCAACGGCTCGCCAGGGGTGTGTCCAGGGAGTGGCCTGGGGTAGCACATGCCACCCTTGGAGTCTGATTGGCCACCCCAGGTGCCACCACACTAATTTACTTTTAAATAGGCTTTTCATTGTCCACAAAAGGCTTGGGGGTAAAACAAAAAAAGCATAACCATTGGTACCACCCATGCACAAAGCTGTGCCTCACCTGGGCCACCCCATTTTAAAAGATCTGGACACGCCACTGCGGCTTGTGCTGAAAAAGTTGCAAACTTCATTCAACATTGGATGCACAGATTTGCATGACAGGATAAGGTACAGCACAATTTTCTGGTTAATGAAATTTTTTAGGGTGAATAAAAGAAGCAAATGGCAGCAAAATATGACAATTTGGCTGGCATTCTAAAGCCGGGCGTACACTGTGCAATCAGCCAATTTCTTCTCGTGAGAGATCAGACTGAGTTTTCATCATTTAGTAGACATAGTGTAAAGTGATAAACACGTCACAGCCAGGTACAGATTAGCAATCGTGCGGTCGCATTAAAATCTGGCCCACACCAGTTAACACAGTCTGGTGGCCTGTGAAGGGTCTGGCCCTGGGACAGGAAACCATTGAGCATGTGGTGCAGGGGATTCTGGAAGGGATTCACTTGGAACTTGCACCGTTTGTCCAAAGACTAATTTTGCAGGTAATGCTTTGAGGTCTTCTCTAGCCACAGAGTAGAGACCGAACATGACCCAGGGCAGGCGGTCGAGCCAGTTGGCATCTGTCAGTGATATGTGGAGAGCTGCCTTCAGGGATCTGTGAAAGCGTTTGCACAGCACATTAGCCTGCGAGGGATAGCCTGTGGTCTGGTGCATTTTGACCGCCAGGTTTTGTGCCATGGCTGACCAAAGCTCAGAGATAAACTGAGGAACCCTGTCTGAAGTTATGTGAGGTGGTCCGATCCAAACAATCCAGGATGACAAAAAGGCTTGGGCTACTACCGCAGATGTAGATGTTACAGGGACCCCCTCTGGCTAGCGTGTGGTTTGGTCAACCATACTCAAGAGGTGGGTGAAACCCTAAGAAGGATGAGGGGTACTAGATACTCATGCACATGGTCAAAACGACGACTGGGGATAGGAAAAGTTCAATGGGTACCCGGGTGTGCCTGTGGACTTCTGCTCGCTGGCAGGGAACGAATGGCGCAGCCCACTCCTTAATTGCCTTGTGTAACCCGGGCCACACGAACTTTGAGGTGACCAGTTTGACTAAAGTTCTCACTCTGGGGTGTGACAGGGAATGCAGGGAGTCAAACACACGCCTATGCCATGTCTCTGGCACCACAGGGCGTACGGCCTGTGGAGAAATCACAGATGAGGGGAGGGTGGCCGTCCAGCACCAGGCTCCTACCTAACCTCAGGCCTGTGGGAGCAGATTGGAGCGTGCAGATGTCTGATTCATTTAACTAGTCTTCCGCCATTGTAGCAAAATCAACACCCACACAAACGGGGAAGACAAATGCACCGGAAAGGAAGTCCACCACCATGTTGGGACTTTCCAGCAACTTGCTAGATGTCTGTAGTTAACTCTGAAACCACAGCGAGGTGTCGCGGCTGGCAACTGGACCAGGGTTCAGAGGTCTTGGACGTAGCAAAAACCAAAGGTTTGTGGTCTATGTATGCAGTGAAGTGCCGGCCTGTGGCCAGGTAGAGGGCTAGCAACTCCCTGTCAAATGTGCTGTACTTCCACTCGTTATCCCGTAACAAGCGACTAAAAAAGGCGAGAGATTGCCACATGCCAGACACGTGCTGTTCCAGCACAGCGACCACAGCTACATCTAATGCATCTGTACCATACCATACCATCTTTATTTATAAAGCACATTTAAAAACGGCATGGCAGCCGACCAAAGTGCTGTACAGAATAAAAAGTAAAAACACAATATAAAACAATACACGGTCAACAATAAAATGCACAACAAGGCAGATAATTACAGTCAATAAAAGACACATAATAAAATAATAAAAGTCAGGGATTTAAAAATACCTGGTCGTAAAAGTGAGCCTTCAGCAGCGATTTGAACCAGAGGAGGGATGGTGCCAGCCTCACCGAAAGAGGAAGTGCATTCCATAATGTCAGAGCAGCATAGACAAAAGCACGTTGCCCCCGTGTTTTGTATTTCATTAATGGAACACGAAGCAGCAGGCAATCAGCAGACCTCAACGCCCGGTTTGGCACATACCTAGTGACAAGATCCGACAGGTAATCTGGTGCCAGACCGTTCAGGGCCTTAAAAACAAAAGTCAGGATTTTAAACTTGACCCTAAAGTTTACGGGTAGCCAGTGGAGCCGCGCCAGTACAGGTGTGATATGTTCTCTCCTAGGAGTGTTTGTTAAAAACCTGGCTGCCGCGTTCTGTACGACTTGAAGCCTGTTAAGAGCGGAGGCAGGTAAACCAATTAAAATGGAATTTGCATAATCCAGTCGAGAGATGATAAAAGCATGGATTACGGATTCCAGGTGTGCTCGTTTCAGGATCGGTTTTAAGCAGACTAGTCTGCGCAGCTGATAAAAACACGATCTGACCACTGCGTTAATCTGAGGGCCCATGGAAAACTGTGTATCAATTTTCACCCCAAGGTTGGTAACACACTGCTTGAGGTCAAAAGGGAGAGTGGCCAAATCAGAAGATACTTGTGTGGTTTTGTTAGGGGTCATCAGGAGTGCCTCAGACTTAGAATCATTTAGCTTAAGGAAATTATTGGCAAGCCAAACCCTCACTTCAGCCAAACATTGGTCCAGAAGACAGAGGGAGTCTGGTTTTTTCAAAGCCAGGTAGATCTGGCAATCATCTGCATGAATATGATAGCCCAGGCCATATTTCCTCAGGATGAAACCCAGGGGGAGGATGTAAATTGAAAACAGGAGAGGCCCAAGCACAGATCCCTGCAGGACTCCCCATGGAAGTGGGAGGAATGCAGAGGAACAATTACCCAACTGGACCTTGAAAACTCTGTTTGACAGATATGAGCAGAACCACTGAAGTGAGGTACCCCTTAGCCCTACCCATGAGCAAAATATCGTGGTCAATGGAATCAAATGCTGCAGAAAGATCTAATAGTAGGAGCAAAACAGGCGACCCAGAGTCAGAAGCCACCAGGATGTCATTGGTCACGCGAAGAAGGGCTGATTCGGTACTGTGCAGTGGCCTAAACCCAGACTGGAACACGTCATCCAGAGAAAAGCTATTCATGTGTGCTGTAATCTGTGAATAGACAATCTTTTCAAGGACCTTAGACAAAAACGGTAATTTGGAGATTGGCCGAAAGTTTGCAAGGTTTGACCCGTCTAAATCAGGTTTTTTTTTAAATTGGTTGCACAACCGCCTTTTTAAAAGAGGTAGGAAACACCCCAGTAGCCAAGCTAGAGTTAAAAATGTCTAGAATTGTGTGTAGTCAAAGGTAATAGGGCAGAAGGGAAAGGGTAACATTGCAGCATCTGCTAACACAGCTTTAAAATTGCAGAAGGCCTGCATGCGGTCTGGGGTCCAATCTACCACATCGCTTGCTTTGCCTCGTCTGGTCCTTTTTGCCATACATGGCATTGATACAAAAGACACAGCATCAATCAATCGTCTGTTGGCTAAGCCAAATAGAAATTCATGTACACAGAGAAAATCAGCACCTAAAATAGGAACTGAATTTGCAGCTACAATAAAATTCCAATCAAATTCATGTTCATGGAAGCATACGGTCACGAACCTTTCACCAAGTTTTGGTGGTGGATCCATTAGCTGCAGTTAACATTGCACAGAGCCTTCAGCTAGTCTGTCAGTGGTGGTTGAGGGAATAAGACTTATCTGGGAGCCGGAATACACCAAGAACCATCAACCCAACTTTGAATCCTCAGCGTATAGCAGCTTTTCTCTGTCGCCAACGAGCACATCAGGGTCACCAATGTGGAGGATTCAAGGATGATACAAAAGAAGGTTTCATTCACATCTTTAGTATCTCAACA